TTCCTTGGCAGTGTGTCTGCGGCGTAAACACCACAGAATTTGAGACCTCCTATGGGGTCACTCCCTAATATTTCTTCAAGTTGACTAGTGTTCATGCTGAGTAATCGAAGGTCGTGTGTCTTGAATAATCAATTTCCACCACAGACTCAAATTCACCATAAACTATCAAATTGATAGCGTTGGGGAGACCCTTTGTGAACTGAATTTCCAGAGAAACGTTTCCTTTCTGCTTCTGGTTGAAATGATACGAACTACTGCAAAGGTCAGGAGTTAAATCAAAAGCAAAAAGGCCATAACCACGGGTATATTCACTTCGATCAATATCGATACCGGAGTCTGCAAACAGCCTTCCCGTACCAGAAAATAGGGACTGATAAGCCTCCATGAAGTTTCGTTCACTAGCACTTCCCAATTTCAAGCTAATTCCTTGAAATGGGTAACTTTCTCCGTCCACACGGATTTTCAAGGCACTTGCATCGTAGAGTTGGAAGTTATAAGGATTTTTAGTATAACTCCCATTGAAGGCATCCGAATCGACCATGCCTAGCACCATTCGTTGAGGTACATTTTTATTAAATATATCCCCTATGTGAATAGAAGGATTTCCACTAGGAATGGTATAGGTTTTACACTCAACGCGACGTATGGGGTATTTCGCATTGATACCCTTATTCAGCTGATTCAAATGTTTGACTTGAGTCTCAGAGCTAACTTTGACAGCTCTRACCTTCAAAACCGCATTTTGGATGCTGATTTTATAATTGGGAGAGGTTTCTCCAGACATCAAGGCGAAGGCAGGTGTATTAGGAATGAGTTTGACGGTGACGTTCACATTGTTTAGCAAAAGACGTTCAGTGAAAAACATATCACAGTGTAATGGTCCCCACATGTCGCAAATGTAACTCTGCTCTGTAAATGTGTAACGTGTKTWAAGTCCTTGATTTGTTCCGCCACTTGTWGGATCGGTGGCTTCCATAGAGCCTGCTGTATCTTTGTAGAAGAGAGATCCYGTGAGGGCTGAATTCTTTGCTGCTGGACCATAGTTGAGGAGGGTTTCGATGTAGCTTTTATAACTATAAGTCCCTGAMGCTTTTGTGACTAAAACACCATTGAGGTAGAGTTCCACCTGTTTGAATAAACTTTGCACAGGTAAATTAACAAATGCCACTTTCTCTTTGTCGCCTAGGTCAGCCCCATTGGCTTTGGTTATTTTCAGGGTGATAAAAAACAAGGTTTTGGATAAGTCAAGATAATTGTCTGATCCCACAATCTGGTACTCGATTGGACTGAGATGGGCGATTGTAGCCACAGGTCTGATGTCTATCCAAAACCCTTTCTCTACATCTACTTGAGTTGGTGGTACTGTGAATAAGTCTAAYTCACTTTTAGAACATGGAGAAGACTTTGGGTGAACGAAGGCCATTTCACTTATCAAATATATCCTTAAGGTGGGTAACTTTAGATTTTTTAACCTTCCCCAGTGCTTTCTTTGCTTTTTTAGCTCTTTTCACTTTGCCAGTCGGGGAGGTTCTGACGCTTTTCTGTTGTCGTTTTCGTTTTATACCTTTTCCTCCACTTCCAGTCTGAGTAGAGAGGCGATTCAAGGCCTGTTCTTTCAAAGTCTGAGCSGTTTGTCGCACCCTGGATTTTGCTGAGTTTTTAAGATTTTTTCCCGCCAAAACGTCTTGAGCGACATTCACACCAGTCTTAATTGCAGCTCGACCTAAGGCTTTTGCTCCTTTTTGGAATAAGGGAAGGGCTCGTCTTGCTAGTGATGCAAAAAAACTTCCAATTCCATGACCTCTTTGAAATGGAGCCCCGTGAAAAACCATCATTTTCTACACCTCTTTGTGTTATTAAAAGAAGGGAGAACGACGACTTCGAAAGTTTAACGTTATCACAACGCGACCACGTTCAAATGGAATCTTTGTACCGGTGTCATCGGTTAAATATAGTTCGAGAATTTCAAAGTCTTTTGTTCCAACAGGGATGAACTGAGGGTTATCATAATTGATGGTGATGACTTCACCATTTCGACCTCGAGCAGGTACAGTGCGCAGAAGAGCTGCTTGTACATCACCAACAATTTGAGACTTGACAATGTTAAGGTAGATGAATATGGATTGAAATCCTACATTGATATCGCTGACATAAGGTGCTGTTGTGGTTTTAGAAAGCACAATATCACTTCCAAATCCTA